AAAAAAAAAAACTTTCTCTTGAATGGATTCTTTTTGTTTTAAATCATGCCTAATTTATCTCCTATTTTCACTCCATTTTGTTTTGTATAGATACGTGTAAAGTCATTTAAATATCAAGCCAGGTAATTATCCTAACAATTCTCTTGCTTTTATTTTTCTTTTAAATCATACTTATCTTATTATCTCCATTCTTCAAGCCTATTTTGTTTTGTTTGGTAGAAATTAGTGGGTAAGATAACAAATTCACGCCCATCTTATCTAACAAATTCATTCTAAAAAATCACATAAGATAACAGTGTATGAAAGGGTATTCTTTGATACCCTTTTTCATTCATCTTATCAAAACGCGGACGACTTCAAAATACAAAAAATAGAGAAAATCTTATGGCACCCTTCTTCAATACAATCGACGCCGTCAACAGATCCAACAAACCATTTTTAGGTTGAGAGTAGCCCTACTGCTGGAAACTCATGACGATCCAGAGCATCCAAATGCTTTTTACATCCTGTTTTATGATGAAGTGGTAATTATTCCAATTGATTTGTCAATAAAATAAATATTCATAACTAATTTAATGTTTCATTTCATGTTTGATTATTTTTTATCAATTTTTTGATAATTAAAAAATCTAAGGTTCATAAATCACTCGAATAGTACGCTCGCCAAGTATGGAAAAATTTCGAAATGTACTCAAACAAGGCGAAGTGTATGCAATCCGAGAGTATGATGTTGGCTATAAACCAAGGAGGAACAATGTCCTTTTAACCAACCATTGGAAGCTTGTGTTTAATGGAGGGACTGATGTATATAGCTACAAAGTAAATTTTTCTCAATACCAGCGAGATGCAAGATAGTGTTGTGGGATGACTTTCTTAGGAATTTTTATAATTTGAATGGATTATCTGTTGAATATTGATAATAATTTTATTTCATGTCGTTTTGAACGAATGTGGTTGCTTATTATAATTATTCGGAAAATAAAATAATTTATTATTTCATTTACTATTCGATTTTTTTCGTATATCGTTTTTGTTGTTTATTTTTTATTTGTGTTTTGTCAACTTTTAATAATTTACAATTTCAATTTACTGAATTTATTTTGTTTTATTTTTTTATCCGATTAAATCTTTATTACATGCTTGAACAATGTTTAATAACATTTTTTTGTATATATAAATATCTAAAAAAACACTTATTAAAATTTAAATGACAATATATAAAAAGTTGTTGTTCCTACAAACAAAAAAGGGAAATATTTAAAATATATTAAATTATAATAATTAAAAAATAACAAATATCTCAGTCCTATTTTAAAGGTCATTGTAAATTCGTATGAAATTGGTTACGAAAATTTAGGCATGATTCGTGTGAAATTCTAGCCACATAAAATATCTCAGTCCTATTTTAATTAAATTTATCTGTCCTAATAAATAAACAGTTCACAAAATCTATATTTTTTTTTCCAAGAAACACGTCTTTAAACAAAAGTTTATATTTTGTTAACTATTTATTTATTAGGACCGAGATTTTTAATTAAAACAGGACTGAAATATTTTATGTTTCACGAATTAGGACCGAGATTATTATGTTTCACAAATAATTCATATTTTATTATTACATGTAAATATTCCGAAAAAAAAATTAGGACTACTACCACTATAAATAACCCAAAAATCATAGATTCCCCCAATATGAGCTTCTATCTTAGGCTTAGAGTCATATTTATTCTCAAGAGATCTTTCCATGCATCGTACCAAAGCAATTGAGAAATTCTTTTCCACGATGTGGAGGTAAATATATTGCATTGAATTTTTATTTTGATAATTGTTTAATTATTTTATTATCTCAATAACAATGTTTATTTATTTTTTAGGGATCACGAATAACTGGTATAGTTCGTGATCCGCCCATATTTGCTGGGTTGCTTGAGGAGGGTGGGGTCTATATATTTAGCAACTACCAACTAGAGCTCAATGTTGGTAAATTTCGATCTACTAATGCAGACTACAAAGTTATAATTAATGGGGATATTGAGGTCCTTCACGTGAGGAGAATGCGAGCTCTGTTTATTGTGTTTTTGTCGTTATTTTCGTGTGTTTTGTGTATTTTATTTTATAGTTTTAGGCTCATTTTTATGTCGACAGGTCCATTTTATCGTGTTTTGTGTATTTTTGCTATTGTATAGTGTTTTCGTATTTTTTCGCGTTTTCTCTTTTGTTTTGGTGTTGAATAGGT